ACGACATTTTATAAAAAAAGTAAAAAAACAACAAGTATTATAAAAAAAATATACGCTAAGTAAAAAAAAGGTATGTATAACTGGCTATTGAACTTAAAAAAAGGACCAAACAAGATAGAGATGGAAGTGGACATATCACTTGATACGGCTAATTTTCACATAGCAGACTTAGCTGGTTTCACTTTACATGGAAAATAAAATTCCTACATTACTAGCTTCCTCACTGGCAAAACAAATAGAAGCAGAATTTCCACTCGTAAAGTGTTATTCTATCGTAAAATAGTCATAAAAGTGGTATTCTAGAGTTAATTAACTGAAGGAAAGGTGTAATAATGAAAGCTAAGATTCTATTCAAACACCAAGCTTTCGATAGACAAAATGGGGAAGTCAGTAATGTAGGGATTTTATTCTCCATATAAAGTCAAAACAGCTTAGTCTGCTATGTAATCATTAGCCGGATCAAGTTATATGTCCACTTCCATCCCTCTCTTGTTTGGTTCCTTTTTTCAAGTTCAATAGCCAGCTCTACATAAGTTTTTTACTTTGCGATAATTTTTTTTCTAATACTTGTTATAACATTTCCCATGACGTGCGAAATCTATATTTTAGTGTAACGTCTCCTGTGGTGTGCGGACGCTTTGACAGTATTATAGCACTTCCGGTGATATGCGGAAGTTTCCTCTGCAAAAATGGCTTTCTAACACCCCAAGTACGTTATGCAGCGAAAACAAAACAATAGAAATGGAACAACTAAAAATTCAGTAAAGCTATTTTCCGGATGTGTTTTCGATGTATCTTACAAATATTTCAGTTACTAAGTTTCTTCTCTACAGTATCTGGTAAACCTAAATATTAAGTTACATAGAAAATGCGTAAACATAGATATATTTTTACCTATTTTCTTTTTCTTTTTAATTTAACGAATTTGCGAGTTACAAACTATTGGAGGTCCTCCAAATTGTACAAGCATACACTATTTAGCATAGGTCTAAATTTGAGTATACTGGTTTGAAGGTTTTTAGCAATATGTAAGTACATATAAAGAACATGTTCATGCGTATATTCTAAATGGACACGTTTTATATCTCATCATTTTCAACCCTAATTTTAATCGTTTTTTTTCACCCCAGAAATTTTACCTAATTTCGAAAAGTCTAGAAAGCAGAGCCAATTATACTTAATCAGTAGAGCCAAATCGATGCTATGTTAACATATACCTGTCTAATTACCTAATGAACTGGCAAATGATCAAAGTGGAGCCAAATCGATGCTATGTTAATATAGACCTGTCTAATTACCTAATGAACTGGCAGATGATCAAAGTGGAGCCCAATCGATGCTATGTTAATATAGATCTGTCTAATTACCCAATGAACTGGCAAATGACCTTTCGGAATGAGCAAATTGGCTTATATGACAACGAACAATAGTGTTGCCGGGTATCTGTTTAATAGTTCTTTATGTGTGGAGTGCTTGAATTTCTAACATAAAATTCTTTCTGTAAGTATAGTTTCCGTAGTATTAAAGACAAACATCAAAATCTACAAAATATGTACTTCAGAATCACATAAAATCCAAGTAAACAATAAAGCAAGTCTTATTGTTAAAAACTACAATAATTTTAATATCAATATTTTAAACAATACACACATCATAGAAAAAAAATGAAGATAAAACAAATTTGTCTGGTATCAGTAACTTAATCCACTTTCTATTATTTAATGTGATAAAGGACATGCCAGGCTCAACAACTTTGTTTCAAATCTACCCATATTAATACTAGAAATAAGCGACCTTATAACACTAAAATATTGTTATTAT